TTATCAAATCTTTAATTTCATCTCGGACAGTTTCATATGTTGTCCACATTGGATTCTCAGAAAGTTCCTCATAGCTCTTTTTATCTTCTAATAATGCATATGTTTTAGCTTCATATACTTCTCTTGACATTACAACAGTGCCTTGACCTTTGTCCGCTTGTTTTATTACAATATCGTTTCGTCGTTTTAGATTATTCAATGACTTATACTAAGATCTATGCATGTTCGGGCTAAACGGATCTGAATTGTAAACTATAGAATCCCGAACTAGACCGACATTCATTTGTAATTCGGGATATCTATTCGCTGTCAATTCAAGATCAGCTTTCAATTGATCTTCTATACTCAATATTTTTGAAGGAATATAGTTCAAACCATATTCCAAGATATTTAATTCATCCCTATCTAAGACTACATTTCCTATAGTGAAAACACTATTCAAAACCCGTACTGGTTCCGTTTGAGCCCAGTCATGCATAGTCCTCATAGAAAGTCATTGATTAGGATTGATATTGGTAGAGATGGTACTAGTTTCGGGGTTCATAATCTGGTTATTTTGATTATATTGATTTCCCCCATAGAATGTTCTATTGAAATGACCTCTTCGTATATTTTCATTATTTTGTCCAAATACTCTCGTATCAGAATGATCCTTACTACTATTGTTCGATCTCTGTCGTGGCTGCTCCTGCATTAATTGGTAATTTCTAGCCCACGTACGTTGTGGTAGGCGCTGATGTACCAATAATGGAGTATCCTCCTTTTCTCGAGTATAGTCTGATTCCGACGCTATTGTCTTTAATCTGTCGATCATGGTATTATTTTGAACATCCGGTGTTCGGTGTTCTACATTTTCAACAGTTTCATTTTTTGCTATTCGGTTATCAGTTATTGAATAATACCCATTCGTTCTATTATTCATATTTTCATCTGTGCAATATCTCTGTATGTGGCCAGTTTTGCCACATCGGAAACATTGATCTCTTTTTCTCTCTCTTTTATTCTTTATCCAGCATAATTCCGTAGAGTGGTGCTTTTTTGGACCACAATTATCGCATTTTGCATTACAATTAAATTTTAAATGTCCATCTTTACCACATCCGGTACATTTCTTTTTTTTTCTTCTTCAATATTTGTTGACACCCTTCGATAGTACAGTTGGCGTCCCATCAAAATCATTCAACGGTATTTTAGAATTCTCTTGGACATTATCGATATTTATTGAAACATAATTTGGCGCAATTTTTCTTTCATTTCTAAGCGGAATACTTTATTCCAAGCTTTTTCGATAAAATCGCTCAGAAATTCACTCGCCCCTCTTTCGATATCCAGCATCTGTTGTTCTTTTTTCATTTTCAGTATTTTGTCTCGTAGAGTTTCAAGTTTTAGTCTCGTCTCATCAATAGTCTTTTGAATGGCATCCGCTTTACATTGTAAAAATGCTTTTCTCATATCAGATGCTATTTGTTCCCATCTTTTTCGGAGTAAGGGTGAGGGTGTCTGGACAGGTATTTCAAAATTAAATGTGCGTGGTATTATGTCATTTTCCGCATAATAGCGATTAATCGCCAAATGGTTCCGAAATCGATAAAACCGCTCATACTCCTGTCTATATATGTCTAATGTATCTTCTTCCGTCGTCACCGACGTCCATTCCGTTTGCAACAAAATGTTTCTTGATATACCTAGACAGATTTTACAAGTAGTATTATTTCCGAGTTCTCCAGTGCAATGATCAATTTTGCTTAACTTAATATTATGAATTTTTACTCCACAATCTGTTGTTAACCACCATTCGCGGTATAGCCGAAAATCTTCCACGATTTCTTCCGTGGGATTTTTCCACACAGCTTCATTTGTTGTTGTTACTATTTTAGATTGTAAAGATGAATTTCTTCTCTGGTTATTTATATGTTTTTCCTGCTCTATTAGCGCTTCTGTTTGGCAACTTACAGACTTTTTTTTGTACATAACCAATATTCGTTGTCATATTTGCTGTCAAAATTGATAATGACGGCGATGCCTCATTTACTGTATTTATTGTTGTACTAGTATCGTTCCTTCCCTCAGTCTGATTACAATGCACAAATTGAGCTAGTTCATCATTGTACGAAAGAGTATTTTCTAATGATTTATGAAGGTATCTAGTAACAACTTCAAGATGTTCATTATTTAACCAATCCGGCTTATTATCTCTTTGTTCCTGATTCAAATTGACCAACATTAAGTGCAGACTATTGAAGTCAGGTCTTGAACCATACATAGTCCAAATTTCTTCCCATTTCTCTTCTGTTTTTAGAAATTTTTGATATTCTCGACAAAATGCCGACCAAGACTGGACAGGATAGTTTTGATCTTTTTTTATCTTCTTATAGGCCAGATCAAGAAAATCGGACAAGGCTTCTTGGGCTAGTTCTTTATTCATTATTTTCTATCAAAAAAGGGGAATAGAAAAGAAGTAGTTACCGTGAGTGGGATACACAAAAAAATATATAAATATATAAAAAAGTAGTTACCAGTCCCAAATTAGAAATTTATTATAATAATAATAATCAGCGTCGTGAACAATATCCGAATAATTATAATCAGAATTCATATAATCATCAACAGAATTATGATACACAAATGAATTCAAAAAACTGGTATGTACCTTATCCAGAACCAGTTCGTCCTCAACAGCAACAGCCAGTAACAACAGACTTCCCTCAGCAACAACAACAAATTTCACTGGTAATGCCTCAACAAAACGCTCGACAAGATCAGCTGTGGTATCCACCTCAACAATCTTTCCCAGCACAGCCATTAACAACAAATCAACAACAACAAAATCTATATTAATTAATAATAAAAATAAAAAAAAACAATTCTGTATCGTTAGAATATCCTCCATTCAATCCTATAACTCCAACATATCTTCCTGATTGTATTCTTAATAAACCTCCATAATTTGATCTTAAATTAGCAGCATTAGAAGCTATTCATCTATCGGATATAATCTATACGCTTGGAAATATAAAATTAACACAGAATGAAATAGATCTATTATCGAAAGGTTTGAAATTTATTCCAAATAAACCCTTTCATTTAAATGATCAACTTCGTTTATGAATACAAAAATTTCTGTCATCTTCCAAATCCCTTAAACATATAAAAACGGATGAACTTCTACTATCTATATTTTCTAACCGTAGAGATTTTACTCAGAATTTATCAAAGAAACAACAATTGGCATTAATTCATTTACAAAATCGTACTGATATTATAATTCGTCCAGCAGATAAAAATGTTGGTATTGTGGTATTAGAATCTAATATATATGAATCCAAAGTATTACAACAACTACAAGATACAGAATTTTATAACAAACTAAATTATAATCCCAATGCACAAATATTTAAACCTATAAAATTCCAATTATATCAAATATTTAATAAGAAAGAAATTTCACTATATATCTTAAAATCGTTACTACCATTAAAATCGGCTTGTGCTTCATTGTATATTCTTCCAAAACTACACAAAAAGAAATGTCCAGGGCGTCCGATTCATTTAGCAATGTTAAGTCGGTTACCTTTGATTTGATGGCGGATCGATAAGGTGTTTAAAATGTCAAATCCTTTCGTCTGGCCTGGGTGATATGGGACATTTCCCTGAAAGGACTGTCCGTACGACCTTAGACGGTGAACCTATCCAA